CCCCCCCCCCCCACCCCTCTCTCCTGAAGAATCTCTGGGCCCTTGCTGCAGACACACTTGGGACACCCTTTCCCTCGCCCTCTCAGACCGTGCGCCTTCCCCTAAACTCGCGCCTCCGTTCTCCTGAAGCACCCTCTCCCTTTAATCCTGCACCCCACATTCTCACTCTACCCACATCTCCGTCTCACAGTGACACTCCCACGCCCCCTCCTTGCCCCTCCCCCTTCCCCACTGTTGCTTGCACCCTCGCCTCCCAGGAACCGTATCTTCTCCTCTTTGCCAGGCTTCCCCACTCCCTCGCCCCGTCGTTTCCCAGATCCTTGTCCATCTCCACTGTCAACTCTTTGATGAAGCTTCTTGCACGCCCGCTCTTGCACACGCATCCTCCCCAGCACTTCTCTGCTCTCTCGAAGCCGCCGTTTCGCCCTTAACTAGGCTCTTGCACCCCGAAGCCCTGCCTTGCCCGCTCATGCTTGAATTGCTGGTTGTTCTTGGGTAACTTTTTTCATCTCTCTCGGAGAACTCTGCAGCCTCTTTCCTTTTGCACACTCATCTCATTGCACACGCTCTTGGCACTGTATTATTGTTTCTTTTCCTGGCACTTTTTTTTCTGCCCCCAAAGATCAGCTCTTATGATCATTCGCACTATTCTCTTAGCTCTGTACACTCTTTTTCTGGCAAGAGAAGATTCTGTGCACTCTCAGTTCTTGCCCACTTTGCTTCCTCGCTTCCTCCTCTCCCTGCCCCAGTCTTTGCTCTCTCAGCTCCTCCCTCCTCCGACTTCCGGCCCATCCATTTTGCACGACGACACCACCTCCCCTCCCCCTTCTCCTAAACTTTCCGTCTCTCCCAGAAACTCCTCCCTCCTGCATGGCTGTTCCTTCCTGCACGCTTCCATGTCCCTCTATTCCTAGGGCTTGGAAATTCTAAGCCACCCCCTTCCCCTGGAAAGCCCCCTCCCCTACTGTGGGCAAAGCGGGGGAGGGCATCGCCCCTGGTCCCCCCCATGTTCAGCTGCCAAAGAAGGGAGCTCCCCCTCCTTCCCCCAAGCCCATTCCCCCTCTGCTGCCCCCTACCCCCGAGGGGGGGGCGCTCCGTCCTTGGGGGGAGGGTGCTTGCAGCCCTCTCCCCTTACCACGTCAGGGATCTGCGGGGAAACTTGTGGGAGGGTTGTGGGAGGGGGGAGGGGTGGCGAGGGGGGCGGAGGTCGTGCTGGGCCCCTACCCGCCCCCTCCCCCTTGTCGGATGCCCCCCGTCCGCAGGGGGCCTGCGCGGCGCTCGTCTATCAAGGGCTTGTTCATTCTGGATGGGTGCCGCGGGGTTGGGGAAGAGGGGCGGATGAGGACGTCTGGTTCTCGCTGGGACAGGGATCGCACGCGTTCAAATTCACGGCGCCCGGGTCTTCCCTCTCGCGGGCCTCGGAATTCACCCTTAAGGGATTGCGACCCAGGCGTCCATTCGCAGGGACTGGGGGAAGACTAGGGAGGCGGAATTATACCATGGGGGTTCGTCCCTACCCCCCATCACCACCCTCCCCCTGACTCCCCACCAAGATTTTGCAGAGAGAAATGGCTTTTGTACCAGGTCATTCTTTATAATTAAACTCACAGTATCCACCCCCTCGAGCCGACCCCGCCTCCTTCCTGGGGAGGCAACTCCCCTTTTCCTCTGAGGTTCCGGGTGGGTATCCCGAGCCAGTGGGGCGGTGCGCAGGCGCAGCCGAGGCCCGCCCCCCCAAATGTCAGTCTTCCTCGGTCGGCTCCGCCCCCAGAGCCTCGAGCATGCGCCGTCGGACAAGGGAGCGGCGCAGGTGCAGGCGGTAATCGCTCAGCTGCAGTTCGTCGTGGCGCACGAGAGGATACAGGTTCCCGCGGAGTCGAAGCCCCGAGCGCAGCAGGCGCGAGCGAGTCTGGAAGTCCGTGACCATGATGAGCCACCTACGAGGGGACAAGGCCAGGAGGAGAGGAGCGGGGCGGAGACGGAGGGGGAATCGCTGGAGGCCCCAGCCCCGCCTCTGGTTGCTGGAGCAGTCCTTGCCTGATCCCTGAGTTCGTTTACCGACTCATCCGTCAACCCGTCGCTGTGTCCCTAAACTCGCCAGCCCTGCACTCTCGTCGGGGTCAGCCTGTTCTTCGACCCTCACGGGGCTCTGTCTTCCCTCAGCCTGGTTCTGTCGAGGCTCCACATTTCTAAACCGCCACTGCACTGGCCGCCCCGCCCCTTCAGGGCTGCTCTCAGGCCTGGTCCCGCCTGCCACCAGACAGTCTAGAGCCACGGGATCACTCTGACCCCGCCCCTGCAAGGTGCTCAGGCTCATAGGTGCTGTTTCGACCCCACACCTCGGTCTTGCGCACCCCCGTCACCACCTGGGTCACTGAAAGTCTGGCTCCTCTCTCCAGATCCCGCCTTCTTTTCCGATCTCACCTGGCCCTGCTCCCCAACCGCACCCACTCTCGGTTTCGTCCCGTCTAGGCTTCCGTGTGGGTGCGTACAAAGTCGTTTCAGTCGTGTCCGACTCTGCTCCCTTATGGATCGTAGCCCATCAGGTTCCTCTAGCCTGACAGATTCCTCTGTCCATGGGATTATCCAGGCAAGAATACTGGAGTGCGTTGCCCTGCCCTCCTTCAAGGGACCTTCCCCACCCAGGGATGGAACCCGTGTCTCTTCTGTCTCCTGCATTGGCAGTCAGGTTCTTTACCGCAAGCGCCGCCTTTGAGCCGGATAGAGGTCCTTCTATCTACCACAACCTTCTCTGGGCGCTCCAGGCCCCGCCCCTTCACTGTCTGTCCCCTCCCCGCCTTGCCTCCCGACCACGCCCACCCAAGATCTCTCCGCCCTCACTTCCGGACCCGCCCCCTCACCGTCTGTCCCCGCCCCGCCCCTCGCTGCGCTTCCTGTTGGCCTGCATCTCCTCCTGGGCACGCCCACCCAAGGTCTCCGCCCCTCTCCGCCCTCACTCCCGGCCCCGCCCCCTCACTGTATGTCCCTTCCCCGCCCCGCCCCTCGCTGCGCTTCCAATCGGCCCGCACCGCCCGTTAGCCCCCGGCCACGCCCACCAGAAGTCCCCGCCTCGCCTTTCTCCGCCCTCACTCTCGGCTCCGCCCCCTCATCGTGTTCACGGCTGGCCTACGACTCCAAGCCCTTCAGCCCTGCCAAGGACTCACCGGTCCCGGCGCCCAGCAGTCCCACAGATGACGTTCATGTTCTCAAAGCGGATGCTGCTCACGCGCCCACTCTCCATGGCCCCGGGGAACTCGGCTTCCAGGGCCTCCAGCACCTCCACGTGGGTAAGGTCCTCTTCAGGCTGGGGATTGCGGGGACACCCGAGTTAAGTCCAGGTGCAAAAGTCCCCACCCTAGACCCCACCTGCAGAATCTGCCAGAGCGAGGAGGATAGGAATCTTTCAGGTAGAAAGGCATCTGCTGCCATTCTAGGTCATTCTCAGGAAAAAAAAAAATCAATCCTCACCAAGCCGATTTGCCAAAGGTCAATGAACAGTCGGCTGAATGATTCACCAGTTGGCCAACTTTGCCCATCTATTGAAAACTTTTCCAGCAGCCTGCGTTGGATGGTGAGGTTTTGGCAGCCGTTGAAGATTTCCGCAAGGATTTAAGCCCTACATTTTTCCTTTTATAGTCTTATTAGCATTTTAAGGACTGTTCCCTTGTCAATAAATAAGGATGGTAGGGAAGGGGTTGACATCTTGTCAATCTATTTAACAGAGGAGGAAATGGCCACCCACTCCAGTACTGTTGCCTAGAGAAACCTGTGGACAGAGGACCTGGTGGGCTGCTGTCCATAGGGTCGCATGGAGTTGGACACGACTGAAGCGACTTAGCATGCATGCATGCATTGGAGAAGGAAATGGCAACCCACTCCAGTATTCTTGCCTGGAGAATCCCAGGGATGGAGGAGCCTGGTGGGCTGCTGTCTATGGGGTCGCACAGAGTTGGACATGACTGAAGTGACTTAGCAGCAGCAGCAGCAGCAATCTATTTAACATTCAGAAAACATACTGATCGCTAACCACGTTTCAGTCTCAGATAACAGTGTGGAGGGTGATACCATATGTCATATATAAAATTGCCGAGAAGCTACAATGAAATCAAGAAATCAGTCACCTCCAGGAAAGCAAGCCTTGGGTGTATATGTTGAGCGGAGGTGGGGATGGGGGGTATCACATGCAAAAAGACACAAAGAAGAGAAGCAATGGAGTGTGGATTAGCCTTATCAACAAGAACAGTGATCACTTTGCATTGGGGTAAAGTGACACAGATCAGCTGAGGGAACATTCTGAGGCTTGTGCCTGGCAAGCCTCATTTAATTCTCAAATTAAAGGGTGAGACCTTAATAGCTACCTCTGCTGAAGCAGGAATGGCCACAGAAGCCATATATGGTGTAACCACTTCACTGAATCTGTCAAACACCTGAGCCTTTTTAAAGTGAGTTTTTGCACTATCTGTCCATTTTACAGAATTTCCTAGTAGACGGATTAGCAGGATTCCCCCTGTCCTCTGTCTCCCTTCTCTCCGCTTCTCTCAACGATGGCCCCTTTGACAAATTCACAGTTTATTTTCAGCCACTTATCCTGGTGCCAGGCCCTCAGCTGCTAAGCTGCAGATCTTGGATTCAAATCCTGTCCACCGCCCCAGCAGGGACCTGGGGTCACGGGCTGGGGGAGGGCCACTCACCAAGGTCTCCATGCACAGACAGAGCGGCTGAGCGGCAGGCGGCATGGGGAACTTCCGGATACATGGGAGCTCTCGGTCCAGCGCCTCGTATTCTGCAATGACCTGACGCAGATACTGTTTCCTGGGAACACAGCCAGCGGACAGGGCCCTCCCAAGGTCAGGGGTCAGTGCCCTTATGCTCAGAGGAGCTGAGGTCAGAAATCACGGGGCCAGGGACCACTCACGAGGATTTGACAGGTCTGCCCAGGCTCCGCGCCTGCGTCTCCTCTGGGTTCTCTCGGCCCACAAGGAGCACTCCTGGGGATGGAAAACCCAAGTACATCGGTTGCCCTGAGCACTCCTCACACCTTATTCTGCTTAAATGGCATCACCAAGTGACCGCCCATGCCACTCCCGGGATAGCTCCTCTGCCAGTTATTCGGCTGTTTTGTCTCAGCCCCAAATTCCACCCTACCCCACCCAGCTGTGGCATACCCCAGAGCTGGGACTCACTACTAACCCCATTTCCCTTCCAACTTTTGGGGTCCCCTTGGACTCTGCCTAAAGGGGGCACAGAGGGAGACTGCAAGGCAGGAGGACAAGGAAGGGACCTGTCCCTTTCTGCCTCCTGTTCAGTCACCCCAGCCTGGTTCCTTCAGTGCAGCAGCATTTGAATCCAGTCTGTGGTTTCTCCAGCACCCTCAGAACTGCCCTCCTGATTGGAGCTCGATAACAGCTCTCAAATCTGAGCTCTTCTATATAACCCTTTCGTCAGCTGATTAATCTCTCTTATGGCCAACTGCTGGTTGTCCCACATAATCCATTTCCTCTTTCTCTTTGTGACCCTATGGACTGTAGCCCACCAGGCTCCTCTGCCCATGGGATTCTCCAGGCAAGAATACTGGAGTGGGTTGCCAGGCCCTCTGCCAGGGGATCTTTGCAACCAAGGGATCAAACCCACGTCTCATGTCTCCTGCATTGGCAGCCAGGTTCTTTACCACTAGTACCACCTGGGAAGCCCCAAGTCTTCTCTAGCAACATTTTATTCAGTCGTTGATGTGTTACCATCTCCTTCATTACAATTCAGTAGACTGTGTGGTGTACTATAAGTGTTTTCTCTCTCTCAGCAGGCACTAGTTTTCATGGTGTGGGTATGCCCACCCTGACCAATGTTATGGTACCCATGGTTTTAACAGGCCTTCTCTTGTGGCTCAGCTGGTAAAGGATCTTCCTGCAATGCAGGAGACATGGATTTGACCCCTGGATTGGGAAGATCTCCTGGAGAAGGGAAAGGCTACCTACTCCAGTATTCTGGCCTAGAAAATTTCATGAACTGCATAGTCCCTGGGATCATGAAGAGTCAGACATCACTGAGCGACTTTCACTCACTCACTCATGGTTTTAACAAGCAGCTTACAAACTTCATCACTCAGCTCCCGTGAGCTGGGACAGGCTGTCTCCAGCACACAGCTATGTCCCAGCTCTACTCCTGGCAGCCTTTAGCTTCAGGGTGTCAAGACAGCTCGGCTTGTACCTCAGTAAGCCCCCCTCTCTAGTCCCGGTCCTCCCACCTCCATCTGTTTTAGCAGGGCAACTGGGGTGATCTTTTCCTCTCAGAGGCTCACAAATTTCCAGAGGCTTTCTCTTGCCTTCAGGATAAAGTCCTCCCCTGCTCTGGGGACTCATCCCTCAATGTGTGGTCTAGGGGAGCCTCTCAGGGTCCCCTCCAGACATACGGGATGGGAATCTGCATTGTAAACAGATCCCCTTTGAGAACCACCTGCCCTGCGTCACGTATGGTCCCTCTGCTGACCTCTCTGTGTTTCTGTCTGGCCATCCTGGCCTTCCTTCCATCCTTCCAATGTAGTAATCTCCTTCTCAAGTCTGTCCACTTAACAGTAACTACATGTTTACAGTCCCTTTTATAAAGCCAAACACCTTTTAAAGTTCTTTCCATTGAATCCTCACAACAACTTCTGAGGTAGTGTAGCTTAACACTAAACTAGAGACAATGTATCAGTTCAGTTCAGTTCAGTCACTCAGTCCTGTCTGACTCTTTAGGATCCCATGGACTGCAGCACGCCAGGCTTCCCTGTCCATCATCATCTCCCAGAGCTTGCTCCAACTCATGTCCATAGAGTCAGTGAGGCCATCTAAGCATCATCCTGTCGTCCCCTTCTCCTCCTGCCTTCAATCATTCCCAGCATCAGGGTCTTTTCAAATGAGTCAGTTCTTCGCATTAAGATGCATAATAAACCCAAATGTTCCAATACCTAGCTTCAATCAATATCAATATTTTGCCAATCTTGTTTCATCTAGGCACTTCCCCACCACACAGAGAAGCACGGAGAAGTTAAGTGATTTTCCCAAGGTCACACAGCCCAAGCGATAGAATCATGATCAAAATCAAGCCATCTGGATCCAGAGCATGTTCTCAATCCCCCAGTCCACTGCCTCTCATCCCACTATTGTCTAGACAACAGCTTCCTAACTTCTCAATCTCTCTCTCTCTCTCCTTCATTCATCCCATCAGAATAGCATTTTTTGCTACCATTTCTTGGTTTGTTTTATAATTATTATTTATAATTTTTATAATAATTTTATTTAATTATAAATTTAATATTTAATTATACATTTAATTTAATGATTATAATTTTATAATCATTATTTATAATTTTATTTATTTATTTATTTTGAGCTGTGCTGGCTCTTCATTGCTACATGGGTTTTTCTCTAGTTGCAGAGAGCATGGGCTACTTCCTAGTTGTGGTTTGCAGGCTTCTCACTGCAGTGGCTTTTCTTGTTGTGAATCATGGGCTCTAGGCATGCAGGCTTCAATAGCTGCAGCGCACAGCCTCAGTAGTTGTGGCCCACAGGCTTAGTTGTCCCAGGGCATGTAGGACCTTCCCATGGGATCCCTCCATGGGGATGGAACCCATGACTTCTGCTTGGATTCTTTACCATTGAGGCATTAGGGAAGCCTCAGAATAGCGTTTTGAAATGTAGATCCGACCACATCACCACCACCACTTTCCTCAAGACCCTCCCAGGACTTCTCATTGTCTTTGGGATAAATTAAGACCAAGACCGCATAGGACCAAACCCTGTTGATGTCTCAAGCCTGATCAGACACCATTGACCTCCTCACTCGCTGCATTCCAGAGACATCACCCTTCTGTGACTTGAAGTCTCCATGCCCCCCTCCTGCCACAGGACCTTGATACATGCTCTAAATCCACATGGAGCTCTCTTCCCGCTTACTTAGCTCATCATGTCTCCTTGAGCATGTGAAGAGTTCCTGTCTTGAATGCATAACACCATGTATTGGCTGTCATCACAGCCGCATTTTTACATTTATTTCTATGAGTCTCTAATTATAATGTGAACAACATGAGGTCAGGGGCTTGTCTTCTGCTCTTGGCATCTAGCAGAGCACCAGGAACCTAGTTGTAAGAATTTATTGGGTAAAGACTGAAGGGATATAATCATCAAATGCAATATATTGTCTTTGTTTGGATCTTAATTAAAACAAACCAACTGTGAAAAATGAATGTTCTTAATAATTAGGGAAACTCAAATATATACTAGATGAGATGATATTCAAGAAAAATTTATGAATTTTTGCTGGTTGTAATTAATGGCATGGTAGGTCTGTTTTCTAAAACTTGTTTTAAAACAAATTTGTCCTATAGAATGTCCCCCAAAAAAGTGTGTGTGGGGCTGCCTAGGTGTAAGAAGATTGGCAAAATATTGATAGTTATTGAAGTTAAGGTACTGGAATGTGTGAATTTATTAAACATTTTCTCTGTTTTTGTGAATGTTTGAATTTTTCCATAGTAGAGAAAAATCTTTTAAATTCCTATCACAGATAACTTAGAAATAAAATTATATGCCCTGGAAAAGTGTGTGAAATGACTTGGAAAATGACTCTAGCAACATCCAAGTGATATGTTTAAAATGTGAATAAAACTGTTTCCCATGAAATGTGGCATTAGAAATAAAGATTCCTAAATTACAACCATGATTTTTAATATATTTGTTTCAATGTATATGCATAACTTAATAAAGGTATACATTTATAAATGAGTACTTATTGAATAATTGAGTAAACATAATACTTTCAAACATCAACAGACACCTCCAAGGCCTCCTGTGTGCCCTGAAGGATGATGCAGACAAAGGGATTAACGAGACCTCCACCCTGCCCTCCAAGAGCTTTTGGTCTGGTGGGGAAAGCGGTCACTGTAAAGTGCAGTACTTGCTATAGTGGAGGTGTCACAAGGTCGACAGTCTGGGGGCAATCAAGGCAGGCTCCTTGGAGGAGGTGATGTCTACCATGAGACTTACAGGATACAAGAGGAGTTTGCCAAATAAAGAAATGGCAGAGACCCTCCTCATTTAAAAAAAAAAAGAAGAAAGAAAGAGATTGCAAAGGAAGGGATATTTTATGCAGAGGCATCACAGGGTGTGTGAGTGGGGCACTAAGGTCTTTAAGCAAAAGAGAATATTCCCAGAATTCTCTTCAGTCCCAAAGCAAAGGAGTACTTATTGCAATTGTAGGTTATTAATTATTTGTGAGATGACGTGTGTCATGTCTACTTCCTTGCATGAGAACAGGCTGGGTCATTTCATTCATTACTACAGGCAAACCACTTGGGACCCACAGGCTTTCTAATGGCCTAAGCCAAAATTTGCAACCTGACAAGCTAAAAATGTTACTGGTTCCAAAATACCACAAAGAAAATAGAAAAACTGAAATGAACAAATATTGATCTACAAAAAGGGCCAACTGATCAACTCAATGCCACTCAACATAAAGCTTTGATGCTTTTGAACTGCTGAAGTTCTACTGGTGTTGGAGAAGACTCTTAAGAGTCCATTGAACTTCAAGGAGATCAAACCAATCAATCCTAAAGGAAATTAGTCCTGAATTATTCATTGGAAGGACTGATGCAGAAGCTGAAGCTCCAATACTTTAGCCACCTGATACAAAAAACTGACTCATTGGAAAAGACCCTGATGCTGGGAAAGATTGAAGGCAGGAGGAGAAGGTGATGATAAAGGATGAGATGGTTGGATGGCATTAACGACTGAAAAAATATGAATTTGAGCAAACTCCAGGCTATCATGAAGGACGGGAACACCTGGCGCGCTGCAGTCCATGGGGTGGCAAAGAGTCAGACATGACTGAAGCGAATTAGCACAGCAGGGAGAAAACTCTTGAGAGTCCCTTGGACTGCAAAGAGATCAAACCAGTCAATCCTAAAGGAAATCATCCCTGAATGTTCATTGGAAGGACTGATGCTGAAGCTGAAATTCCAATACTTTGGCCACCTGATGTGAAGAACTAACTCCTTGGAAAAGGCCCTGATGCTGGGAAAGATTGAAAGAGAAGGGGATGACAGAGGATGAGATGTTGAATGTCATCACCAATTCGATGGACGTGAGTTTGAGAAAGCTCTGGGAGTTGGTAAGGGACAGGGAAGCCTGGCATGATGCAGTCCATGGGGGCGCAAAGAGTCAGACATGACTAACTGAACTGAATTGATACAAAAAGTATACTTATCAGGTGGGAGCCTCAGCCTAGGTTAGAGATGATGTGGGGTGGGGGGTCTCCAAATGGAAGAGGTTTTCAAAGACACTAACAGAGACTGGAGGACAGAGAAACTGTTGGTTTTGCCACTAGAGCGTTTACTGTGCCTAGCCTAGCACCTGGCACAGAGTAGGTGCTTACAGCCAACACCCAGAAAGGAGACCCCGTCAATGATTTCCATCCTTATTCCTCACTTGAGGAGTGTCCATTCCCCACCCATGGGAGAGATGTGGAGGGAACCAGGTGAGGCTCACCAATCCCCAGGATCCTCAGAAATATCTCATCCAATGTAAACCAATGCCTTTGACCCTTACTGCTCATTCTAATTACCTGGCAAGCAGTCAAAAACTATAGATGCTAGGGCCCCAGTCCTAGAGATCCTGGTTAATTGGGATCTGAGGTAGGATTAGATATAAATCCTTTAAAAAACTTTCTCCCACCTGATACATAGACCCAATGACTAAAATAATCATAATAATTTCATTCTTTTTGCCAGGCATTGAGACAAGAGTGAATGGGTGCTTAGTGATGGCCAATGAGATGTGAGGAGAGATTATTTGGAATTCTTAAGATTAAAACCTTTGGATGTGATGCCTGGAAATTTGGCAGCCATTTGGTGACCATGAGGTATGCAAGCTGGTGTGCAAAAGGGATATATCCCAGACCAAAAAGCAGGGAAACAGAAATCGGCTTCTCAATAACATTCACTGAGCTACTGATCCACCCAAACACAAACCCTGCTCCACCTATAGACTTCTTTTACAGCGAGATGATGTCTTTCCTATTCTTTATACTGGGCTTCCCACGTGGCTCAGTGGTAAAGAATCTGCCTGCCAAGCAGGAAACGTGGGTTTGATCTCTGGATTGGGAAGATCCCCTGGAGAAAGAAACGGTAACCCACTCCAGTATCCTTGCCTGGGAAATCCCACGGATAGAGGAGCCTGGTGGGCTACAGTTTATGGGGTCGCTAAGAGTCAGGCACAACTTAGCAACTGAACAACAACAATTCTTTATACTGCCTTACGTCCAATTTTGTATTACCTTCTAGCCAAATGAATTGTCACCAAGATATTACTTTAGAAATGTTCACTGAGAAAATGAATGAATGAATGAGCTGTGCTAAAGCAGAGCGAAAGTAGGCAACCCTGGAAGATGAGCCTGACAGCTGGCGCAGGCTACATAGGGCCTCAGACACTGGATTGAGGGGCTGGTGCCCTATCCTGGGAGGGATGGGGAACATGGAAGAACTGCGAGCAAGGGAGAGACAGGGTTAGTGCTGGGTGTCAGAAAGTTTTCTCTGGAGCTATGTAGAGGATGGGCGGGAGGGAAGAAACTGGAGGCCAGGGATTTAGGTGGAGAAAGGGTCCATTGGAAGAGGACAAGCCCTGAGCTGGGGATGTGGGGACAGGGCAGAGAGAATGAGAACGAAGACAGGGTTAGGGACTGATGTCAGTGGGAGGGAACGGGAGTCGGCAGAACAATGCCTGGGGTCTGGATTGGGTTGGTCGTAGGGTCATTCAAAGATGGGAAGCAGGCAGAAGGAGTAGCTTTGGGAGACGATGCTGAGTCCGGTGGTGGAGACAAAAAGGGTGTGAGGAACCAGGGCAGGGAGTCTCTGGGGGCTCATGGCCTCCAGAAGAGCTATTAATGCCCCAGAAACTCATGGGAAATGTAGTTCCGGGTCCAGAACATTGGCCAGGGAACTGCAAAGGCTCACGGGAAATGGCAGTTTGAGGTCTTAAAGGGTACTGCCTAGTGGACACAAGAATTTGAGGGTAGCTCTGTCTTTGGAAGGCCAGTAACTCACTCACGGCCACGCCGCAAGGCAGGCGGTGACACAAAGCTCGGATGAAGGCCCTCCACCCCCACGCTTGCGTACAAACGCACAGTTACCTGCGTCCCTGTGCATGCCGGGGTTGCCTATGGCGGAGGAGCACAGGGGCTCCACCTCCTGTTGCATCCTGGGAAGGCGGGTGAGGGTTGTCTCAGGAGGACGGGGAGAAGAGCTCAGACTGGGCCACCCGCCCCAGCTCTGTCTCCCCGCTGCTTCCTCCTTCTTGTTCTTGAAGCCCCGGGGGGAAAATGTGGACGGCTGAGTCCACATAGGTATCTGGTTTCCTTTCATCTCTGGGACCCCCTGTGTGTCCCAGTTCCTTCTTTCCCAGCTTCCTTTTTCTTCCTCAACGTCTCCCGGTCTCCTCGAACCTCTTTCCCCACCCCTGTCACTCGCACTGTCTCCCTCATGTGCTCCCCACGTCTCTGTCCCCCACCCTTCCTCCCTCTCCCCCCATTTCTTTATCCTGACTTCTCCTTGTCGCTCTCCCCATCTCTCCTCTACTCTTTCCCTCGTTTTCTCTGCCCTCTTTCTCCCCACATCTCTCCCCTTCCCTTGTTCCATCTCCCCAGTCTCCTCCATCAGTTTCCCCAACATCTCCCCAGCCCCCCAGCCCTGTCTTCATTGTTTTCTGGCTCTCCTAACCCTGTCACCCCCTCTCTGTTTCCCTACCTCTCTCCCCATCTCTCCCAGCCTCCTTTTTCCCTCTTTCCTCATCTCTCTTCTCTCATAGCTGCCTCTGTCCGGCCCCTTGTCCTCCCCCCCTCTGTCATCCCTTTTCTGTTCCCACTTGCCCTCCGCTCATCCCTGTCTCACGCAGGAACTGGTGAGATACAGGCGAGATTCAGACAGAAACTGAGTTCTATATGGGGGAGGGAAAGGTGAGCAGGGGCTGGTTGCCATGGTACCTCCATTGGGTGGGGGAGGGGCTGGGAGTGAAGGAGTGTAGCCACAGAGGTGCCCACAGGGCATCTCTTCTCTGTCTGCCGAGCTCTCTGCAGGGGAGAGGAGCCCAGACTTTTCCCCTTATTTTGTCTTTCTCAGTCTGTCTCTGTTACCTGTGTCTCAAGCCTTCTCTCCACTTCAGCTGATCGTTGCCTTAACTGTTGGTTATTCCTGCTTGATAAGCATTGGTTCTCTGCTTTTTAGTAGTAGCACCTCGATTTTCTGAGTCACTAATGTTTGTGGTGTTGGAGAAGACTCTTGAGAGTCCCTTGGACTACAAGGAGATCAAACCAGCCAATCCTAAAGGAAATCAGTCCTGAATATTCATTGGAAGGACTGATGCTGAAGCTGAAACTCCAGTACTTTGGCCACCTGATTTGAAGAACTGACTCATTTGAAAAGACCCTGATGCTGGGAAAGATTGAAGGTGGGAGGAGAGGAGGATGACAGGATGAGATGCATGGATGGCATCACCAACTCGATGGACATGAGTTTGAGTAAGCTCTGGGAGTTGGTGATGGACAGGGAAACCTGGCATGCTGCGGTCCATGGGGGCACAAAGAATTGGACACGACTGAGAGACTGAACTAAATTGAGCCTGAAATGCAATCTAGGATAGTCAACCTTGGACTTTTGCTAGATCCATTATACAAGAGGGTCTTTCTTTTTCCAGTGAGGTTAAGAGGCTGGTTGTAGCCTAGGTTTGAGCTACTGGGGACCATCACATTGCCATATGGGGAGAAAGCCTGCCTGAATGCAAAGACAACAGGAGGAAAGCAGAAACCAAAGATACAGACAGATTCCTGATGATGTTTGAGGCACCTAGATCTAGCTGTGCCTGAAGCTGTCACTCACTCAATTAATTCCGTGTTATTGCTTGGGTTATTTGAGTTTCTGTCATTGGTAATTACAACAGTCCAGACTTCAGCAGACTCATTTCCAGACCCAGTTCCTTTGTGGCCCAGACTCCCTCTCAGCATCCTTTTGTCTTCTTCTCTCCCATCAGACTGTCCTTTACTTCTAGTTGCCAAGTTCACCCCTATAGGAGAGGAAACACTTTTCATTCTAATGGCCACAGGCACACCCAGCCTGCACAGCCCATCAGTCTCCAAACTCTGTCCCCTCTGCTTCCTGACTCTGCTCTTTCTTCTCTTCATTCCCACAGCCCAATACCCACTCTGGTTTCAAGGTCCTTTCCTGCCTGGACCCTCCCCCCACAGACTCCTCCTCCCTCACATCCCCCAGTCTCTTCCCCACAAGGTTTCAGAGGGGTCTTTTGGCACTCAGATCTAACCCCTCCCCTGTACTCAGCCCTCCCATGGCTGGCTCCTCAGCACCTTGGACAACGTTTCAGTCAGGCGTTTGGCAGATACATGATCTGGTCCTAGCTTCCTCTCTCACCTCGTACCTTCAAAACACTCTTCAGCCACCTTTTATTAATTACTTTATTTAATTAATCCCTCACCCTCTGTCCCCACTCTCCATATGCTGCCTTTTCCGGGTGCCCAAATGCCCTCATCCTTTCAAAAGCAGCTCAAGTGCCCCCTCCTCCAGGAAGCCTTCTCTGACTCCTCCTCCTATCTGTTGTGTTTTCTGTCTCCTTTCTCTGCACATTCTTTATCTGCTTCCCCACCGCCCCCTGCCCACCCCAGGCCTCTGAACACGGTGCACTCTGCCTGTCTTGCTCAGGGATTTGGGTCTTTGTCTGCCTCCCACTCTAGACCATCCCTGACTCCTCTCTGGTTCTCCAGCCTCAGGAAAGTGTGGAACGTGACTGTTGACTGAATAAGTGAGTGACAATTCCCCTCTGTTACTGTGACCCACACTCAGCAACCCCCAAGCCCACTGCCCTCTCCCTCTCAGTCCACATGATGTAACACAGAATGAAGAAGTGAGTATGGACTCTGGAGTCAAACAGACTAGCGTCAAATGCCATGCCCAGGCTGTGCAACCCTGGGCAAATGTGTTCTCCTCTTAGAGCCTTGGTTTCCTCCTCTCTTGACAATAATGATGCCTTGAAGGGCTAATGGTGCTTAAATAAAGCAAAGCCCCCACATGTGAGCCAGACACAAAAGAGACACTCAGTTGAAGGTTGCCCCCTTTCCCAGTTCTTAGCTCAGCCTCAGGCTTTAGCTGCCTCTTCTGGGGCTCTTTCTTCTGTCTTTGTGTGTGTCTCTTTCTCTGCATCTCTGGGTGTCTGTCTCTCTCTTCTTCCCTCTGGCATCTGGGTCTCTTAAATTCCCATCTTTCCATGTCTTCATTTTCCTCTGTGATTTGTTCTTCTTTTCTCCCTACCTGTCTGTCACTGGAACCCTGCCCCATTCATCTCTCTCTGTGCCTGAATTTGAATTGCTTTGTCACGTGTCTCTGACTTTCTTTGTCTGCCTCCCATTCTCTGGGTCTCTGTACCTTTCTGCGTATCTCTGTCTCTGTCTTTGTGTCTCTCTCTGTCTCCATCGCTTTATCTGCCATCTCTGTTTCAATCTCTCTGCCTCCTTCCCTGTGTTTCTGCCTTCGCCCCACCTGCCTGCCACTGCCACTCACCCCAGCTCTCTAGGATCATCTCTGTCCCACTCTCTGGCCTGGCATGCAGCCCGGGACACAAATCCCTGAATCAGCATTTTCTTTCTATCCCAGAAATTATGTCAGCGCTGCAGCGGCAGTGGGGCTGCTTGTAGCTCTGCTCAGAGGGTTTGCCTTCCTGGACCTTTGTCCACACAGGCCCCGGCCAGCATGGCCTGCCTCTCTTCTCCGCATTGGTTCTCCCACGGGAGCACCAGGAGAAATGGTGAGCCTGTGTTTACACACACTGCGCATGTCTCTGGGTGTGTGTGTCTGCATTGGTCTGCAGACTCTTTGTGGGTCTGTGGGTACTTTGCAAACTCATCCGTTCATTCGTGCATGCGTCTATCCATCCACCCACACCATGATCCACTCATTCACCCACTCAGCTATCCATCCATTCATCCATCCATTCATCCAACCATCCACCTATCCACTGATCCATCCATTCACCCATCCAACTCATAAATACACACATGCGAGTGTGTGGGCTCAGTTCTGTCTGACTCTTTGTGACCCCATGAACTGTAGCCTGCCAGGCTCCTCTGTCCATGGAATTTTCCAGACAATAATACTGGAGTACCGGTTGCCATTTCCTACTCCAGGGAATATACCTCACCCAGGGATGGAACCTGCGTCTCTAGCGCCTCCTGCACTGGCAAGCGAATCCTTTAACACTACGCTTGGAAAGTCCTTATACATACACACACTTCTCTGTTTATCCCTCCACTAGTTCATTCATTCAGCCAGCCAGTGTTTATTGAGTGCCTACTGCATGCGAGGCACTGTGTCAGGCAGCAAGGACAGAGCAATAAACAAAAGGACTCCCCCCAGCGGAGCTCATGTGCTCACCAGCCCTCCTCCACGAGCCCAACTTCTTCCCCAGGCTTTGCGCAGACGGATTCCTCTCCCTGGAGAAGTCCACTCCCCTCCCCCATCTTCACCTGATTTATGCCAACTCAAATATCACTTGCTCAGAGAAGTCTTCTGTGACCTCCTTCTCAGACACAGCACCCTGGACTTTCTTTCATTAACGTTGATCCTCAGATGGAGTTATTTAATGACCGTTTGTCTCCACCACTAGACCATGAGCCTTTCCAAGGCCGCGATTTTTGTCTGCTTCTTCCCAGTCAAATCCTTAGTGCCTAGAACAGTGCCTGGCGCTTCAGTAGATGCTCAGTTTCTGCCCAATAGCTGCGTGGATTGAATTGAATGGATGTCTCTCTCTGCCTCCTGCTTCCCTGTCCAGTGCTCTGCACTAGGCTACACCCCCAGTGGTGATAACAGGCAAGGTCCTCGAACTTCCTAGATGCAAACAATGTAGTGGCTGAAAGCTGGGAGTCTAGAGTCAGACCACGTGGCTTTGAATCAACTCTTGACACCTCCCAGCTGTGTGACCTTGGGCAGGGCACTTTCCCTCTCTGATCTTCAATTTCCTCACTTGTAAAATGACATTAAACAGTCCGTGAGCAGGGACTTCCTCCTGGTCATCCAGGGGTAAAGAATTCGCTCTGCGATGTGGCCTGGATCCCTGGTCCGAGGACGAGGATCCCACATGGTGCAGAGCTACGGTGCCCATATATCACAGCTAGAGAGTCCCTGCACCGCACTGAAAGGCCCCGCATGCCAAAATAGATAAATAAACAAGCCAAGGAAGAAAAAAGACTCCATGAGCCAACGCATGTAATTACTAATTACGACAACAGTAAACATTAACCATTTTCTCTGAATCGCTGGTGGATTTAATCCTGGTGAATAACCTAATGAGGTGGAATCTGGGTTTAAAAATTGATCACCCTCCCAATAAAAAAAAATTGGGGAAAAAAAGATTACCCTCACTTATAGATGGGGAAATGGAGGCACCAGGAATGTAAGTCATTCACCCAAGGCCACAAATGATGGGAGAGCAGAGCTGGGATTTGAACGCACGCTCCCCACTCCCAAAGTCACACACAGTCGATGCACTGCAGCTGTTCCGTGATGCCTGAGGGCGTCTTGGGGAACACGTCATGGGGGTCTGGCAAGCCCACCTGCGTACACAACTCTGCTTGTGTGCGTTGCTGCATGCTGCTGCGCGTCTCTCCCTGCTTGTGGACCCTGGGTGGAGGTCTGGCTGTGAGAGTGCTATTTGGGGTGCTTGTACCTCCATGCACATGTCTGCGGGTGCACCTCCTTCCTTGCAATATTTCTTGGGTGCAAATGTAGGTCCATCTGGGAGAAAGCAAGAAGCGCTGAGGATAGGATTTGGAGTGAACTCAAAAGGCAATTCTGGGGGATCCTGCAGTATGATTTGTTGTTGTTCAGTAGCTCAATCATGTCTGACTCTTTGCAACCCCATGGGCTGCGCACGCCAGGGTTCCCTGTCCTTCACTATGTCCCAAAGTTTTCTCAAACTCATGTCCATTGAATCAGTGATGCCATCCAACCATCTCATCCTCTGTTGCCCCCTTCTCCTCCTGCCCTCAATCTTTCCCAGCATCAGGGTCTTTTCCAATGAGTCGGCTCTTCACATCAGGTGTCCAAAGTATTGCAGCTTCAGCGTTAGTCTTTCCAATGAATATTCAGGGTTGATTTCTTTTAGGATTGACTGATTGGCTCTCCTTGCTGTCCGAGGGACTCTCAAGAGGCTTCTCCAGCACCACAGTTCAAAAGCATCAATTCTTGGGCTCTCAACGTTCATTATGGTCCAGCTCTCACATCCGTACATGACTACTGGAAAAACTTTGGCTAGACGAACCTTTGTTGGCAAAGTGATGTCTCTGCTTTTTAATACACTGTCTAGGTTTGTCATAGATTTTCTTCCAAGGAGCAAGCATCTTTTAATCAGCAGTATGATGGTGGCTGCAAAATGTATACATAGGCAGCAATTGGGGGAGGGAGTCGTCTAATTAAAGGGAGATGTGCCTCGGAGACACGTCTTAAAGTATTTGCAATTTTTCCCTTAGATTATATTTATATGGGTGTCACTGGGAGGCAGGGGGCAGCACTGAGAAAGACCGGGATGGGCCCTCCAAGTCACCCCTGTCTGCACCCAGACTCTAGGTAGTTCTGGACTTCCTCAAGGGATTTCACCTCTGTGGGCCTCAGTTGTCTCCTCTGTGAAATGGGAATAACATAATTGCTCCCCACCTGATAGGGCCAAAGTGAAGATTAACTCAGAGAATGATTTCAAAGCATTTAACCCCGGTGCAATTGTCATTAATTGAGGCGTTGAAAAAATATTCACTAAGCACCTCATTGGTGCTTATTCTCTCTATATACTGACTGGTTTTTCAAATCTCCGGGCCCCTTAGGAAACGAGTCTTTTGTCTGTATTTTGGTGATGAGGAAACTGGAACTCATAGCAAATAAGGCACGGTCACAAAGGTAGGAGCAGACCCAGGAAGAATTTAAATCCAAGTCCTTGCTTCCACCTCCACACCGGGCTCAGAGGCTCTGCCTCCCTTCCCAGCACCAGCCCCCAGAGCCCCTCGGCTGGGAGGAAGGGAAGTCCTGGGTCCTGCGTCCCCGAGGGAGGAGGGAGCAGGAGAGGTGGATTCCTGCATCTGAGAATGGAGGGGGTTGGGAGCTCGGTACCCGGGGTCCTTGGAGAAGCGAAGACCAGGGTCCCTGACTTCTCTGTCTAGGAGAGGAGGGACCGCTCCTCCCCTTCCCCCTGCCACAGCCCCCGCCCCAGCCCCATCCCGGGGGGCGGCCCGGGCGCGTGGGGGCGGGGGTAGGGGCAGAGGTGCGCGGATCTCCGACCCGGGAGTGGGAGTGCTGCAGCGTCTCCTGGCTGCCCCGGGGGAGGGGCACGTGGTCCCGGAATGTGGGGGGGTCCCGAAACACCTGGGTGCACCCCAACCTCGCCCACCGATCCCCCGGGCGTGGGGATGGTTTACCCACTCCATGGCCCCTCCGGACTTAGGACTCCGTGGCTTCTCGAGGTCCCAGACATTATTCATCTCCCCTGCAGCGCCTTGGGACCCCGGCATCTCATAACCGCCCCCCCCACCTCCAAAAAATTCCCATCCTATCTGCAGCCGGGAGAGGCACTAAGGACTCCAACTCCCATCAGTCCCTGCAGTGCCTTGTCTATGAAGCCGCAGCAACGCGAGCGCAAGGCCTGCCGGGAATTGTAGTCTTTAAGCTTAACAGGAGCTGGGGGCCCGAAGGTGGGAAGGGGGTGGCCGGACCTCCTGGGGGTCGCCTGAGGTCGAGCAGCTGGCCCGAGTAGGACAAGATGTGAGGCTCGGGCTAAGCTTTTTCTCACGGCCACGGCCCCCAGATCCGGCCCCCCCTCCCACCACCTGGTTCTTGGGGACAGTTCCGCAGCCCCTTATCCACCCTACAACCCCCATGGGCTACCGCCAGCCGCCGCCTCCGCTGCCATCCAGGACAAGGCAGGGATAAGCGCAGGTGAGTCTGACTATTCCCGTCTCAGAGTCCTGGCCTTCTGCAGCACCCCACGACACCTGTCCATCTGTGAGCCCTGATCTGTCCGTCCCTAATTTCCCCTGAACCCTCCTTCCAGTCTGTCTATGATGTCTAGCTCCAAACCATGTGTCGCTAATTCCCCTTCTCCCCACAGCCACCTATTTCTCCATGTGTTTTATGAACGTCCCCCCCGCCAACCTTCCTTCTGCCCCCATGACTGTCTGCCCAGTCCTCCATCCGCTGTATCCTTTTGTCCATCTGTGATCTCTGGCCATTATTTTTCTGTCCTTTATTTCTGCACCCCATCCATTCTCCTGTCCACTATTTGTCTCTCAAAGATATTTCGGTCCACTCTCTTGCCTGGCACTTATCACTGCCCGCTCGGTCCATCCATCTCTCACACTCCTGTGAATTACACACCAGCTTATTCTTTATGGCTTGTCCATCCCAAGTTTCAATCCTTGACTTTCCCTCTGTCTGTCTATTCATCTGTCCTTCTCTTCCAGGCCCCAGTTTGCCCTTCCCATTATCTCTGTCTCCCTTCCCCTTATCTCTCCCTCTCTCAACTTGGTCCTTATCTCTGCATCCTTCACCTTCATCTCTCCACGCCAGCATCAGACAACCATCTCCTATCTCTCTGCCCCATCCATCTCCTTCTCTCTCCCCCTCTCCTCTCCTCTCCTCTCTACACCTTCCTGTTCCCTGGACCTCCCAAGCCCTTTCCCACCCTGGGCCATTGCTCATGTTCTTCCCGCTGTTTTGAATGGTTTTCCACACTCCAGCCCCGCTGCCCACTGCCCATGGCTGACTCCGTCTCATCTTTCAGGTTTCAGAGAACTCCCCTGATGACCCACCTCCGGGTCCCTTTGTGACACATCCTTCTTTTAGGGCAGTTCTCACAGTCTGTGTCCATGTGAGTGTGTTTGTTGATTTGATGCTCCTTATGTCCTCTCATTGGACTGTGACACCAGGAGGCCGGGGACCGAGTGGGGCTTGTTCCCTGCTGGATCTGCAGCAGCCCACACAGTGCCTCGCGTGTAGTTGGTGCTCAGTGAATATCTGTTGAATGCACGAAGGAGAAATGGCAGTTCCATTGTCTCTCCATCCCTAAATTATGTCCCTGCATCTGTGCAACCCTAATCTTTGTCTCCTTGTCTGTCCAACCCTTTATTTGTACATCCTGAATCTCTGCCCCTTGCCTGGCCTTCCCAGTCTCTTCCTCCTTGTCCATTTCCTCCCAGTTTCTTCTCCCTTGTTCATTGCCCCTCCCAATCTCCATCCCCGTGTCCCTCCACCTCCCAATCTCTGTCCCTTTGTCATTCCACTCCCAGTCAGTGCCCCTTGCCTATTCTCTTTCCACCCCTTATCCATCCCCTCTCTCTCCCCAATCCCATTCCCCATCTGTACCCTTGCCCGGCCCCTCCCAAGCACAGGACTCGCTGGCCACCATGTCAGGAGACTACGAGGATGACCTCTGCCGTCGGGCGCTCATCCTGGTCTCGGACCTCTGTGCGCGGGTCCGAGATGCCGACACCAGTGACAGGTGCCAAGAGTTCAACGACCTGCGAATCAGAGGCTATCCCCGGGGGCCAGATGCAGGTCAGCACCCCAAGCCATGTTGGTCAGCCCCCTGCTTTCACCATAGGCAGAATTTTTAGAGATTTAGAGCAGCCTTGCTCAGCTTCCTGTGCCTTATGGAGCCAGTCCCTCTTAGAGTCTTGCCTCCATCCTGCCTGTTGCTGGTCCCCCTAACCTCTAGTCTAAGGAGAAGGAGCTATGTGGTCCATTTGACCCATGACCTTTGGAGTTTTGCCCTGTGGGCCTCCTATCCACCCTCCCCACCCCCACTCCCCTGCTGTACACACCACCCCCTTCAAGTGTCTTTGTGCATCTCACAAGTGCTTAGAAGCTCAGGCTCTAAATCAGTCTGTCTGACTTGTCTGGGTTCAAATCCCATCTCCCCAACTTACTAAATGCATGGGTTCTTCTGTACCTCAGTTTCCTCATCTGGAAAATGGGAATAATAAAAGTGACTACTCCATGGAGCAGCTGAGAGACTCAAATGATATAACACATGTGACTTGCTAACAAGCAGCTGGGCACACAGTGGGCATTCGATAAATGTTGGAATATACTTACTGAGCACCGATTGTGCGCCAGGCAGTATGCAAGGTCCTTCATATATCTCATCAACTACTCATGATGACCCTTGGTGGTTGGTACATATAATCCCTATCTTCTCTTTTTTTAATTTTATTTAAAAAATTTTTAATTGAAGTACAGTTGATTTACAATGATTCATGTGTATGGCAAAGTGATTCAGATATAGATATTGATGTATATATTCTTTTTCAGATTCCTTTCCATTATATGTTGTTATAAGACACTGAATATAGTTATAATCCTTATTTTCAATGGGGGAAACTGAGGTTCAGATGGAGTGGTTGGTCCCCCAGCTAGGAAGAAGTAGGGTTCTGAGAGCTAGGGAATATCATGAGTGCCTTCATCCAGACGAGAAACCTTCACGAAGCAGGAGCTGGGACATTAGGATGACGGCCACACTCACTGAGCGCCAGGGTGGGGCTCAGCATCTCAAGTGCAGGGTGTCCAGAGGTTGGTGATAAGGGATGAGGCCCAGAGAGCTGCAGCAGCTCGCTCAGAGTCTCATGGTCTATATGCAGAAGAGCCCGACTGTGACCCCAGGAAGTCTAGCACACTATGGTGATTTGGCGAGCTGGGGGTGGGGTGTCTCAGGACCACCCCCAAATTCAGTAATTCCTAGGACTTTGACTTGGAGAGAGTCTGGGTCAGGCTAACAGTGGGGAATGGTATCTGTCCAACTTCTCTCCCCGTTCTCTTCCAAAACGACCCCTTTTGCTCAGTTCTCCCTGTGCTCAGAAGGCTGGGGGGCCCTTGCTCTGGTTTCTAACAGGCCCCCAGAACTCTAAGTAGGTGCTGGTCATTTCAAAACGGACTCCCCCAAGGGACTGGGGTCAGGTGGGAAACTCGGAGTCCTGCCACTGCCTGCCCTGTGGCCCTGCAGGGTCACTTCCTGTCTCTCTGAGCCTCAGTTGCCTTGTCTGTAAAATGGGATCAATCACCCTCAGGTGGTGTAGTGTCATGAGGATGAACATCAGGGACCACTGACTTAGATTCACCGGGCGGTTCAGGATTGAAGCACATCCCCTTGTCACCAAGCGCTCCCGGAAGGGACAGCACACAGCGCTTCCACCCTGCTGTCCTTGCCGCCAATGCTTCGGTGACCTGCTCCTCCCCGTGCGCCCCATAACCCGCCGTCTGGACACAGCAGGAATTTCCCTCTGTGATCCACTTCATGGAGGCCCAAGAGTCAACCCCCAAACAAATTCACATTTCCTTGATAAACCCCACTCCTGGCCCCAATTACTGAACGAACCTTCGGTTCAAGATCTGGGCTGTCCCGGGTTTCGCTGAAAGGCATATCAGCACACAGCAAGCATTCAGAATGTGTTAGTGGTGGTGGTGATGGTGTTGGATGCAGGCGGCAGCACTGGGATTTATTATCCTAACAAAAAGTCCTGCTTGAACCGCCATTCACTGGGAAACGCTGAATGTGGTAGCCCAGTGGTGAAGATGGTGGGCTCCGGAGCCAGGCGCCCCGGACTCAAATTCTGCCTCCTCCACTCCAGCTACAGCACTTCGTGTCTGTGGTAACTTCATGTCTCTTGGTCTCAGTTTCCTTTTGTGAAAAGTACTAATGGGCATAATCATATTGCCAAGCTCCTAGGGCGCCCATGAGGCATAAGGAAGCTAATGTCTATAAACAGTAACCTCTCAGGAAAGGTTTGCTATTATCTTCCCCAGCTTCCTCTGCAAGCCATTTACTCCCTCCATTCTTTAAAACCATTATGACAGGCAGAACTGAGTTTTCCCCAGTTGACAAATGGGGTGGGTCAAGCTCAGAGAGGTGAAGATATGTTCCCAAAGCCACACAGCAAGCTGGAATTTGAACCCTGACCTACCTAACTGGGCCATGTGATCTCCCCTCTCTTTGATCACTTCTGAGCATTTGGAGGAAGCTTGGTTCTAAATTGGAGGATGTATCCACTTATAGGAGAGGCAGTGCGATCAAGAGAATAAAAAGGACAAAATCTGAAGACAGACTGCTGGTTCAAATCCCAGATCTGTCATGGACTAGCTGTGTAGCCTTAGACAAGTCACCCAACCTCTCAGCTTCCTCATCTTTAACGTGGTTAGACGGAAACACCGACGTTGCGTAGCCGTGGAGTCTATACTGAGTAGTACGTGTAACGTGTTTAGGACGGTGAGAGGCCAACACTAAAGCTTAGCTTTTTCGGGGAGAGCAGCGGGAGGCTAAGTTCTGACCCCACCCTGACCCCTGACCTTTGTCCTCACTCTCTCCAGACATCTCCGTGAGCCTGCTGTCGGTCATCGTGACGTTCTGTGGCATTGTCCTTCTGGGTGTCTCCCTCTTCGTGTCGTGGAAGCTGTGCTGGGTGCCCTGGCGGGACAAGGGAGGCTCAACCGTGGGCGGTGGTCCCTTGCGCAAAGACCTAGGCCCCGGGGTCGGGCTGGCAGGCCTGGTAGGCAGTGGCGGGCACCACCTGGGGGCCGGCTTGGGTGGCCATCCTCTGCTGGGGGGCCCGCATCACCATGCCCACACGGCCCACCATCCGCCCTTCGCCGAGCTGCTGGAGCCGGGCAGCCTAGGGGGGTCTGACCCCCCTGAGCCCTCTTACTTGGACATGGACTCCTACCCAGAGGCCGCAGCTGCTGCAGTAGCCGCGGGGGTCAAACCGAGCCAGACATCTCCCGAGCTGCCCTCGGAGGCCGGGGCAGGCTCAGGGCTGCTCCTGCTGCCCCCCAGTGGTGGGGGCCTGCCCAGTGCCCAGTCGCATCAGCAGGTCACAAGCCTGGCACCCACCACCAGGTGAGACAGGCCACCGGGCTGGGGGTCCACTCTAAACTTCCTTTCCTCTTCCGTGTCACCTTCCCATCTGCGGCACTCCTGAGTCCTGGGAAAGGTGGGAGCTTGGGGTGTGGAGTCCTGGATCCTGGAGAAAGATGAGGCTGGGGACCCAGACTCCTGAGTTTCAGGGAGGAGGTGGCTAGAGGTCTGAGCTCTTAAAACCAGTGGAAGGAAGAAGATAGGGACAGGACTCTGAGATCAGGAAGGTGGGAGAGAATGGAGATTAGACCCCCGAGTCCCTGAGGCACAAAGCGATTCATCATTGTTGGGACCTGCAGTTCATTGATCCATTGATCCTGATTCTATGCATGCATATTGAGCGCCTAATATGACCTAGACCTGAGCTGGGTGTTGGGAAAAAGTAGAGGTGAGCATTACAGACAGACTCTCATGTCACTCCCAGTCCGGGGGAAGTGGGTCCCCAGATCAGCCTGTCCCGAGCCAGGAGGCCAGGTCTGCAGAAATACAACCTAAGGGACACGGGTGGGACTGGATGACACTGGGTCTTGGATGCCAGATTGAGGGTCTGGGACCTTGTCCTGGGGCGCTGGGAAGCCACGGAGGGCTTGAGCAGAGGAGGTCAGCTCTGGGTATAGAAAGACCTCTCTGGGGCCACACAGGGGACAGACTGGAGGCCAAGAGTCCAGGCAGGGGGAGGACAAAGCTGAGCTGAGATCACGGGGGTGGTGGAGGAGGAGATGAGGCAGAGAGAGTCAGGGGGCAGCGAGTCAGGGATGGAACCAGGGGCCTGACGGCTGTGGGCAGGAGGGGGTCGGAAGAGGTAAGGACAGCACCCAGGGGTCTGGCCTGGTGATCGGGTGGATGGTGAGGCTGTCAGAGGACCTAGGAAGAGGGGAGGGTTTGAGGAAGACCCTGAGCTTATCTGGGTCTTGTTGAACGAGAGAGGCCTGGGGGAGCATCTGGGGGAAACTGCCTTCTAGAAGGATTGTCTTGGGTCCCAGAGGTTCATGGGTGGTTCTCCTCCAGGCGGGAGCTGGTCAGTGGCTCATGGAAAATGTACTCTGAGGTCTCTGGGGAGACCCTCCAGAGGTTGATGGATACACTGGTTCTGAGTTCCTCATTCCCCCATTATACAGATGAAGAAACTGAGGCTCAGAAGGTGTTAATGACCTGCTCACAGTCACTCTGGGAGCAGGGAATGGCGCACTGATCAGTAGCTGGGGGCATCTCACCCCGCATCCCTTTTCATGGCTCCCCACTCCCCTGCTTCTCCCAGCCCTGTGCCTGCCTCTGAGTGCATCTGGAGCTGCCCTGTCCAGTCGTCACTAGGGGCCCCACCACATGGACTTCACCACGGGTGCAGTGGCCCATGCAGGAAAGGATGGATGAGCAGGGACGAGGGGCTGGGAAAATTCAGGAGACGGGAGGGAAGGGGTTTAAGGGGAGAGAGGAGGTGAGGATGGCACCAGATGTCTGGTCTGCAGGCCAAGGTGGATCGTCGGGGGCTGGGAGAGGGAGTGGGTTGGGGAGAAGGGAGCAAGCCCAGTGGGGAACACAAGAGGAATGTGGTGTCTGATGGGGCTGGGAGGCTGAACCTGGCCGGAGCCCAGGAGACACACTTAGCAGACAGAGGCTGCTGATGATTGCGGAAACCTGGGGCACAGATGAGCTTGTCCAGGGAAAGCATACGAGGGAGAAGCAAAGACAACGGCCAAGATGGTTAAGGATGGAGCTGTGGGCTTCCGTAGTGTTCCACAAGCACAGAAAAGACAGTTGAGAGAGAAAGAACAGGCTAGGGGCCACAATGGCCAGGTGGGAGAGCGTGAGGATGGGCCGGGGAAATTTGGAGAAGGGCAGATGGAGGTCGAGGGGTCTGGGCTGTGTGAAACCCTAGGGCTCCACAGAGGTTATTCAGGGTCACTCCTGGAGGTCAGATGGAAGCTTTGAGAGGCTGGTGACAGCCCAGGTCTGATTTGGAGCTAGCTTAGAGAAGGGGATGGTCACCCCCCCCATACAGACGGGGAAACTGAGGTTCAGAGGATTCAAGCGCCCTGCTCAAGGTCACAGTGGGCAAAGGTGGGGGTCTGTGGGCCCCTGGCTGTGGGGTTTGGGGAGGAGGCCGGGAGGGGCCCCCCAGGTCTTCAGGTGCAGAGATCAGAGCCACTGACTCCATCTGTCTTCCCCACCCCCTACAGGTACCCCGCCCTACCCCGGCCCCTCACCCAGCAGACCCTGACCCCGCAGCCAGACCCGGGCAGTGAGGAGCGGCCGCCCGCCCTACCCTTACCCCTGCCGGGCGGAGAGGAAAAGGCCAAGCTCATCGGACAGATCAAGCCAGAGCTGTACCAGGGGACTGGACCCGGCGGCCGGCGGGGCGGCGGGGGCCCCGGCTCTGGGGAGGCCGGCGTGGGGGCGCCCTGCGGCCGCATCAGCTTCGCCCTGCGGTATCTCTACGGCTCCGACCAGCTGGTAGTGCGGATCCTGCAGGCCTTGGACCTTCCGGCCAAGGACTCCAATGGCTTCTCAGACCCCTACGTCAAGATCTACCTGCTGCCTGACCGCAAGAAGAAGTTTCAGACCAAGGTCTGGAGTGGAGGGCTGGACATCCGGGTCCCAGGGAGAAGGGGCGGGGTCCGGACCCCCGGGGCCGAGGGAGGAGGGGCCGGTGGGCATGGTGTCTGTCTCCCTTCCTCGCCTACCCCCTCCAGGTGCATAGGAAGACCCTGAACCCCGTCTTCAACGAGACGTTTCAGTTCTCGGTGCCGCTGGCTGAGTTGGCGCAGCGCAAACTGCACTTCAGCGTCTATGACTTCGACCGCTTCTCCCGGCACGACCTCATCGGCCAGGTGGTGCTGGACAACCTCCTGGAGCTGGCCGAGCAGCCCCCCGACCGCCCGCTGTGGAGGGAAAAGACCCTGAACCCCGTCTTCAACGAGACGTTTCAGTTCTCGGTGCCGCTGGCTGAGTTGGCGCAGCGCAAACTGCACTTCAGCGTCTATGACTTTGACCGCTTCTCCCGGCACGACCTCATCGGCCAGGTGGTGCTGGACAACCTCCTGGAGCTGGCCGAGCAGCCCCCCGACCGCCCGCTGTGGAGGGACATCGTGGAGGGCGGCTCGGTCAGTGACTCCCGCACCCTCTTCCCCAGGGGACCCAGGACCCCAGCTTGCCATCTCCTTGCCCCCCCTACTACTTCACAACCCCATAACTCCTGGATCCTGGAGTTTTCTTTTTAACTTTATTTTCCTGCAAAATATCGCAAACGTACCAGCAGGAATAGAGAATGGTATGGGCTCCCACTCCCCTTCTTCACTTAGTTAAATATTAACATCAGAACCAGGCCCTAGATTTCCCAACTTCTGACCCCACCTTGACATCTGATGGTAACCGTTCAGAAAACCATAACAGATGCCACCAGTTTTATCAAAACTCCAGGCTGTGACCCCATGACTTCTGCCCTCTGACCCCAGACTCCTAACCCTCCATCTTCCCAAGCCTAGAGTGCCTGGCTTTTGTTTGTCAAACTTCCTTTCCCCTTACAACCTCCTCACTTTTCAATTCCCAGTCTTCCTGAGACCCCCAGCCCCTCTGATCTCTGAACACTTTGTTTCAAAGCGCTGACTCTCAAGCTCTCTAATTTAATCTAATCCTCTGTGTCTTCATGGTCTCCACTGGAACCCTGATAGTGTGATTCCCTAAAGCCTCACACTGGAATCCCCGATATCCTGACATCTCCCCAGTGCCCCCAACTCCCCCCACTGGCCCCTTCTGCCTGTCTTACAGCCTCGTTCTCCTGTACATCCAGTCCTTCCCGAGCCCAGCTCCTAGGTCTTTGTTTGGGTGTCCTCACCCCTTCCGCACCCCAAACGTCACACCCTCCCACGTCCTCAGCCCTCTCAGTTACAGTCTGTGGGTTTCCCAACACTCCAGCTCCCTATTGATCTGGGGAAGCTGTGTGTGAGTGGGGAGGGGTGTGAGCCCTGTCCTCATATATTGAGAGGGCTGGTTTTGCCCACCCAATGGCCCGACTTAAGCTCCTTCCCGTCTCTGAGCCTCTGTTTCCCCCTACATATCAGGTGTGTGTGGCTCTTCCTAACGTCCCCTTCACCTGGGGGGACCACAGCCCGCTTGCTCTGTCCCCCAAGCTCAGGCTCTTTGAACCACCTGCCTAGTTGTAGAGTCCTAGCCCTGCTCCCTGTTGTTCCCCAAGGCCGCCCCGCTTGAGGGCCCCCTCCTTCATCTATCCTTGTCTCCTCTGTCACCTCACATTTTCTCTTCTCCTCCTGATCGCTCCAGGCCTAGGTGATCACACAGGGGCCAGCATCATGGGGACACCCCCGGGAGCCCCGCCCCCGACTCTGCTCTGGGTCTTTCTGACTCTAGAACCCTGTGGGTCTGTCATTCTGACTCTCTCCCGCTGTCTGCATCTCTGTCTCAGCGGATTTCTCACAGCGTTCTTCTCTCTGCCTCCCTCTTTCTGTCCTTCTCCTGATCTCCCCCCACCCACGCCTCTTCCAGTTTTCCCCGCAGAACAAATAGGCTTTGACGGTGGTGGGCCGCTGTGGCCGGGGAGTTTACCAGGTTTTGGCCCGGAGTCAGATTGTTAAGTGGATCGGAAACCTGAGCCCTGCAAATCGGGGAGGAGAGCTGGAGGCTGGAGATGGGGAAGTCAGGGAGAGACTGGGGGGAGGCTGAGACAGCGCCTCACTGGCCCCGTTTCCCCAACTGCAGGAAAAGGCAGATCTTGGGGAGCTCAATTTCTCACTCTGCTACCTCCCCACGGCCGGCCGCCTCACCGTGACCATCATCAAAGCCTCTAACCTCAAAGCGATGGACCTCACCGGCTTCTCAGGTGGGTTCTGGAAAGACGCCAGTTTCTGCGGGGCGGGGAGGCAGGTGAGACTCCCGGGGCTGAGCGAGGAGGGGGCTAGAAGCCCAGACTCCACAGAGTCCTGAGAGAGGAGGGGAGGGGCGTCCAGACCCCCTGAGTCTGGGCGACGGGAGTCTGAGGTCTGGGCTCCTGGATCCGAGGGGCTAGGAGAGAAAAGATTGGGGAACCAAACGCTTGGGTCTGGGAGAAAGGTCTGGGGTCCGCGATGGGGTCCGAGGGATGAAGACCCGGTTCAGCGCCCTCCCTCCACACCCGCCCGCAGACCCCTACGTGAAGGCCTCTCTGATCAGCGAGGGGCGGCGTCTGAAGAAGCGGAAAACCTCCATTAAGAAGAACACGCTGAACCCCACGTACAACGAGGCGCTGGTGTTCGACGTGGCCCCCGAGAGCGTGGAGAGCGTGGGGCTCAGCATCGCGGTGGTGGACTACGACTGGTGAGGCGGGGCGCGGGGTGAGAGCGGGGTGTGGGGCCCGGCCTGCCGGCCTCTGGGGTGCTCACCGGCCCCCACCCGTGACCCCCAGCATCGGGCACAACGAGGTGATCGGCGTTTGCCGCGTGGGTCCCGACGCCGCCGACCCCCATGGCCGCGAGCACTGGGCCGAGATGCTGGCCAACCCGCGCAAGCCCGTGGAGCACTGGCATCAGCTGGTGGAGGTGAGTGGGGCGACACTCACCCCTTCATTCGCGCAACCCCTCATGTCTTCGTGGGCTGCTCAGTCACAGGTTCGAGTCCCCGCTCCGCCCTCTTTAGCTGTGTGACTTGGAGCAAGTTCCTTGATCTCTCTGTGCCCCCGTTTCCCCAGCTGGGAAATGGGACCCTTAGAAGCGTCTATTGTTAGGACCGGCGTGAAGATGCAGTGAGTTAATGCAGGACTAAGTGTCTGCCTCTGAGTAAGGGCTCAGTAAATAGTCAGCTACTCTTATTATTATTACCCATGATGCTAAGTCCCAAATAAAAGGAAAGGGGAAAAAACCTGGATGATAAAATAGAGCAGGGCTTTATTTGTTATTTAAAGCAGGCTGTGAAAATTGGTGGATTGCGGTTTACTGGGTAGGGATCAACAATATTTCTTTTGAAATGAATAAGAAAATTAAATTGAAATAAAACAGTACAGAAATTTTCACAGGGCAGGAAACGAAGGATGGTGGTATTAATTTATTTTTTCCCTGGGGGTTGCAGTGCAAAAGGTTTGAGAGCCTTGGGTGGGGGGAGAGCAAATCTGGAGGGGAGTTGGGGCGTGCCCTTTCAATTAGGGAGTCCTGGAGGGCTTCTCAGAGGAGACATTTGAGCAGGGGCATGCAGGTTGAGAAGGAACGGGCTTAGGTAAAAAAGGCTTGTAGGAAGGGGGTAAGGCTGCCAGTTCCTCCAAATCATCGAGAAGGGGGTGTCAGTGATGAGCCTGGAGCAGAGAAAGAAGGGGACAGGAAGATCCCAAGAGGCCTGGGGGGTCACGGGAGAACCAGCTTGACAATTTTTAAATTAAAAATTTAAGATCACTTAAGAACCTTAATTGGTCAAGAGAAATTTTCAAGTATGGGATCTCTCATTTGAATCCAGGAAAAGCAAAGATGTAACTTTCAAAACTATTGATGACTCTACTGTCACTAAAGCCAAGAAAGTAAGATTATACTAAATTCTTGCAGGGTAAAAATAAAACATTTAAGATAGTATGAATTTCAGTACACTTACTCTTCTTTTTTTTTCCTTCAATATTTTCTCAACTAGTTTAATTTTCCGGGGGGGGGGAGGCAAAAAATACAGAAAAATCGAGTACATATTTCTCCTTTTCTCTTTGGTTCCTGAGCCCAAAGGTTGGGCTTTGGTTCCTGGCCTTTACTGCCAATTTAAATAAATTTTAATAAATTTAAATAAACTTCTATTTTAAATAAATAAAACAAGTTGTCTTTAAAATGGCACTGGACTAGCTTTTACTTAAAATTTATATTTTGCTCATCATGGACTATTTTTGCATTGATTTTTTTTTTTTTTTAAAGGTGGTATTACAATAGCATTTATCTGGATTGCTGCGTTTGGGTGCACCTTGCATTTTACACCTGGATTCAGTTCCTCACTTGGAATTGACTAGTGTGGTCCTGCTTTGAAGTTTTCTCTGGGGTTGGAGTGGGGAGGGATGTAAAGGGCTGAGTGCAGAACTCAGAAGTGAGTTTTGAAAAGACTGATTATACTTAGCTGAACAGATGGCAGCTCTCCCTGCTTTCATCACTTACTCTTCTTCTAATTCACTCACTCGTTTATTCACAAACTTCTCTGGCAGCTCCTGTGAAACAAGCTTGCTGTGCTCCTCAGTGGAGAGGAGCTGAGCCCTGGCAGAGTCTGGCCATGACCTTGACTGGCAACCAATGGTGTTCTGTGGCTGACCCTGACCATTCTGTAGCTCAGCCCTCCCGTGGCTCCCCAGCACTCTCAGGACTGGGTTTCAGCTCCTCGGGGGCTGTGCAGGGTCTTCCTCATCACCCCAGTGGCCTCATCGTCTCTTCTCACATTTCCAGTAATGTCTCCTTCGTGCCTCTGTTTTCCCATCTGTAGAATGGGACTGTAGTACCACTTGCCCCATCACTTCAGAGCTGGGCAAAAAAAGAGAACTATAAATGATGAAAACAGGTGTGATGTCTTATTAGGTTCATTACTAGCAACTGCTTTGCCTCTGTCCCCCTCCTCCTGAACCTTTGGATTTCCCCCTTCAGGAAAAGACTTTGACCAGCTTCACAAAAGGCAGCAAAGGATTGTCAGAGAAAGAGAACTCAGAGTGAGAGGTAAGGAACCCAGCCCAGGTGTGGGAGGGGCTGGACTCCCAGGTCTGAGGATGGAGGGACATAGCACCAGGATTCCTGGGTCCCTGGGGTGTTTGACGGCCATGACCAGCCAGGTCATGGGCTGGCTGTCCGCCATCATTAATGTTTCCTTGCTGCCCGGTCCCGCAGGTCTGGCCAAGGCTTGGAATCAGACCAGGCCCCCTGAGGACCCCATCCCTTCCTGCCCGGACTGTGAATTCATCTCCTCGAAGCCATAACGTCCGAGCCGCGTGGTGCGAGGCAGCCCTGGGCCTGCCCATCCTTCTACCCCTGGAGGCTTGGGGGTGGTGGGAGGCAGGCGGGCCCAGCTCCCTGTTTCAAGGTGGGGGGCATTCAGTCTCCACTGTGTCTGTCTTCCCTCCCCGGGGCTCCCCATCCAGGTGAGGGGCCATGCATGTCTGGGGGATCCCTGCCCCCCAAAACCTCTGTCTGTCTGTCTGTCATCTGTCTCTTTGCTGTTTGTACAAGACTTAGTGTCCTAACCCTCGTGCTGGCTGTGAATGTCAACGGACCAATCTCCCGTGTGCCCCTAGACACGCACACGCCTGTGTCCACCCTGTCTGTTCACCACACCCTGAGTCTGGCCGATTCCCCCCACTGCTGCTGCTATCAACTCCAGAATAAACACATACATTGGGTCTCACTCCATCTGGGGCTCCTGTCCTTTCTGGGGCTGGGAAGCTGGGTTGGAACATCTCAGCTCTGCATTCAAACAAATGTTTCATTCACTAGCAGGGTGACCTTTGGCAACTTAACTGATTTCTCTGAACTTTTCTAAATTTTACACCGGCCAGGACCACAAAATGCAACCCAGACAATTGTAAGCCACAAGCAGAAATGAAGGACCTCCGTGCAAGCCTGAGAGTACAGAAGGACTTCAGGCATAGTTGGATCCAAGTGTTTGGGTGATTCTGCTTTGTCCTTTGTTGACTTCGTTCTCGGGCAGGTCTTTGCTATGGTAGCAAATGGTCATTTGGAACTGCAGGCTTATAATGCTGAAGCTGTTATAATGCCTTCAGCTGAAGAAAACAGAATTCCCAACATAGAGAGCTGAAGTAGTAGAGATTTCTTTTGCTCATCTAACATTTTAAAGACTCAAAATCCCAGGGTGAGTTCAGCTGCTCAGAGTCAGGCACTAAGTTGGCATCTCTGAGAATAGTTTGCTTTCCCCGCATGGGTACAAACTGTCTGCAACGATACCACGCATCCTGTTCTCAGTGACATCCAAAGCAGAAAATGTGGACAAGGGCCTCTCCCTTATGTGTTTGACATTTTTATTTTCTCCCTAGAAGAGTTCTCCTTCTTTCTCATTTGCCAGACTGGGTTCTAGGGGCCAGACTGGGTTGCAATGCAGTCTGAAAAGTGAGCATCTGTCATTTCTAGTCTAGATCGTGGGGCGTGGGCTTTGCCTGCAAGAAAGCATGGAAAAGGGAATGATTGTTGGGGTGGAAATTAACAGGACCTGCTGCAGTTGCAGAAAAACAGGAAACAAAATTAGGATATTCCCTTTCTCTCTCTCTCTGCATCCATATCCTTCAAGAAGAGGAGTCTGATTGGTCCTCCTCAGATCTTAAATGACCCCCTCCAGCTAGGCAACTGTCCAGTTGAGAAGCTTGCTCTTGCCTATCCCCCACCCCCACCCCCGCCAGAGCTGACTCCTCCCCTCCCCATCCCACCCAGATTGGATCAGACTCCCTCAGGAACCCGACCCTTCTTGCCCAGCGGTGAATTCGTCTCCTAACGTCATAACGTTCTTTGGTGGAGAACGCAGGGGTTCCCTTAATTGACAGCCCCAACAGAATGTCATGGCAGGGGGCAGGGGACAGTCCTTCAAAGTAGCCGTTGTCCGCTCCACGACGAGCTGACATTAATTCACACCCCCTTGCCCGTACACACCATTTCAAAACATGCGATCATGAAAAGAATAGTACAGTGTTGGCATGGGCTGCCATAACAAATCACCACAAGCTGGCTAGCTGAGAACGGCGGAAGTGTATTCTCTGGAGACCGGAAGTCTGAAGGCAAGGTGTCGGCAGGGTCGGTTCCTTCTGAGACTCTGCAAGAGAATCTCACGCCTCATGCCATGCCTCTCACCCAGCTCCTGGTAACTCTCTGAAATCCTTGGTGTTCCTTGGCTGGTAAAGTATCGCTCCACTCTGCTGCCATCTTCACATCTCCTGCTCCCGCGCGTATCTGATACTTCCCTCTTCCTTTCCGGTTCCCTCTCTTTTAAAGCACATAGAACACTGAATTTTTTTTTTTTTTTTTTAATTGTAGTCTGACTAGGAGTACATGAACTCTTTTTTTCTCGAGCATTGAGCGACACTTTTCAAACCCTAATAAATGTCAAGGTTAGAAAGGTGCGATACTGTTAGTAAAGTTCAGCTTAAAGGTAAATAAGCAGAGTGACAATATACAGCCTTGACGTACTCCTTTTCCTGTTTGGAACCAGTCTGTTGCTCCACGTCCAGTTCTAACTGTTGCTTCCTGACCTGCATACAGATTTCTCAAGAGGCAGGTCAGGTGGTCTGGTATTCCCATCTCTTTCAGANCCTTGGACTGCAAGGAGATCCAACCAGTCCATCCTAAAGGAAATCAGTCCTGAATATTCATTGGAAGGACTGATGTTGAAGCTGAAACTCCAATACTTTGGCCACCTGATGCGAAGAACTGACTCATTGGAAAAGACTCTGATGCTGGGAAAGATTTGTCAACTACAAATTGGCACTTACCAAGAGCATTGCCAATGACTGAACAACAAGGCATTTCCCACCTGCCTCTACGGAGACTGAACCCCCAGCTGGTGTAGCTGTTGACCTTCAACCACCCCTGAGGGAGTTCAGGGTGGAGTGAGCCACTCTGTGCTCCAGGAAATCTGGTAGGACAGGTCTGTAGATCGTTGGATATTTTTAGGAATAGATTTTATAATCCCAATCCTTGCATCTCCTCATATCTAGAGAAGCACTAAATCCCTTCATGGTGATATCAAATCCTCATGACTAACAAGAAGACTTTCATAAAATGAGTGCTTCATGACACTGAACTCTCCCGTCACCAAAACCTTATATGCTGACTTTCCCCCACTGCCGCTTTGGAGCATCTCCCAGAGCTATCTGAGCTGCTGCCACCAGGGCTGCAGTCCTCATTTTGCCCCAAATAAAACTTAACTCACAACTCTCAAAGTAGTACATCTTTTTTAGTCGACAGATTGAAGGCAGGAGGAGAAGGGGACAATAGAGGATGAGATGGTTGGATGGCATCACCGACTTAATGGACATGAGTTTGAGTAAACTCTGGGAGTTGGTGATGGACAAGGAGGCTTGGCATGCTGCAGTCCATGGGGTCGCAGAATTGGACTCGAATGAGCGACTAAACTGAACTGAAGGTTAACAGGCAGCCTGTTAGCATCCACAAGAATTGCAAGTTAATTTTAACCTAATAAATACCCTGAAACTATCCTTAAGAAGACAGTGCATCATGCCAAACTTTTCCTTTAAATGGATGTCATACTCTACTGAGCGCGCTGCTAGCTCATTCTTTTTGCCGTCTTTGATGACGCCACTACGTAGCAGCAAGTTCATGTGGTACACAAGTGAGCTTTTTTGTGTTGTTTTGTTTGACCATGACCTGCAGCATGTGAGATCTTAGTTCCCCAACCAGGGATCAAACCCGTGCCCCCTGCAGTGGAAGTGCGGAGTCCCAACCACTAGAATTCCTTACAAGCAAGCTTTGAATTTGAGCCTAGATTCAAATTCCTCCTCCTCACATATTATCTCTGTGACTTTGGGCAAAGTAGGTAACCTATTCATACCCTGATTTCTTTAACTGTAAGGTAGAGAAATGATAATGTCTACTTCACAAGAATGTTATGCAGATTAGTGAAATAATACACATGAGACACTTAGCATGGTATTTGGTATATAGCAACTGACTCAAATGTTAGCTATTAATATGGATAATAATGCTGACTGTAATTGCTAATAATTATTATGTATTATTAGAATATAGTTGTGCATTAGAGATCTTCATAATCACTTTCATGATGACCTAATATATTAAGGACCAGGTGTTCTAGAAGGGAAAATGATGTTTCAGGGTAAGGAAATGTAAGCAGGGCAATTTTTTACCACCAGTTTGCTTTGAATAACATCAGTTGGTTACAGTCATCCATGTATGTTTTTTTCCCTCCTTTCTCTTATAAAGATACCTGTCATTGGATTTAAGGAGTCTAAATCCAAAACAATCTCATCTCAATATCCGTACTTCAATTATACATCTGCAGAGACCCCCCCTTCCAAGTAAGTTCCCAATCACAGATTCTGGGGAGTTAGGAAAATATATTTTGAGGGTCATCATTAAACTTGTTGCAACCATTTTGGAAAAAAAGCTCATCAGTTTTTCATAAAGTGAGACATAAGCTTACCATGTGACTCAGCAAAGGCATTCCGAAGTATTTACCCATGAGAAGTAAGAACACATGTGCACACAAATATTCACAGCAATTTTATTCATCACAACCCCGATCTGGAAAACTAGAAACAATGGGAACTTTCTAAACAATGGGTAAGCAAATTGTATGTTGGTAGGATGGAATGCTGCTCAGCAATTAAAAGAAGTGCCAACTGATAATGTGTAACACCACAGATAAACCTCAGAGACAGTGGGTCTTGTGAAAGAAGCCAGGCAGAAAGGAGTCAAACTGCATGATTCCATTTCTATGAAATTGTAGGGACTGTTAATCTATAAAATAGAAGTCAGATTAGGGTTGCCTGAGGCCAAGGGAGTGGGGATGGGGGATTGATTATATACATGTACAGAGCAACCTTTTTTTTTTTTAAAGGAATTCTCCGAGTTTTTAAAAACAATTTTATTTCTTTCTTTATTTGACTGTGCTGGGTCTTCATTGCTTTGAGGGCTTTTCTCTAGTTGTGGAGAGCAGAGGCTACTCTCTAGCTGCAGGGCGAGGACCCCTCATTGCGTTGGCTTCTCTTGGGCAGCACAGGCTCTGGGCAAGGGCCCCAGTGGTTGCAGCTCACAGGCTCTAGAGCTCGGGCTCCCAAGTTGTGGCACATGGAATCAGCTACCCCGAGGCATGTGGGATCTTCCTGGACCAGGGATTGAAACCATGTCTCCTGCCAAAGGCAAGCAGATCCTTTACCACTGAGCCACCAGGGAAGCCAGAAACTGTTCTATATCTTGATTGTCAAGATAGCCATACACTGTATATACTTGTCAAAACTCATAGAAGAATACACTTAAAATTGGTGCATTGTTTTAAGTTACGGTAAAATACACATAACGTAAAGTTTACCATTAAACGCTTTTGAAGGTTCAATGCAATAGTGTTCGGTAGATTCACACTGGTGTGCGGCCAGTCTCCAGAACTTTTTTATCTTGCAAAAATGGAAGTTTGATAGTCATTAAACAACTCCTCACCCCCACCACCCTCGCTGCCTCAGCCCCTGGCAACCACCATTCTACTATCTGTCCCCATGAATTTGACTACTCTAGGTACCTCATGTAAGTGGACTCATACGGTGTTTTCCTTCAATTGTAATAAATATGCCATACTAATGCAGGATGTTAATAATAAAGGGAATTAGGAGAGGGCGTATTAGGGAGTGTGGAATTAGGGTACAGAGT